GAGTCTACCAGTGGCTCTTTATCTCCATGGCAACAGAGGAAGAAGCCACAGACATTAACTGTGGCATGAAGTGTTTAGGCTAATGTGAGTTTGCTTTTAATTACTAGGTTTCCATTTGCCATTATGACCCTTTAGTGGAGAAACCCCCCTTGGCCCCGTGCCTACAGTGTGGGTAGCTGCCACCAGGTGAACGAACAGTAACGCCCTTGGTTATGGATTCTTACTTAGGCTCTTGCCAACCAGATGTAAAAGGATACCGTGTTAGAACCCAAGTCACTCAAACATTTTCTCTGGACAGGCATTCCATTAAAAACAATGGCATACAAAAATAACAAACCTAACTGGAAGTATAAACATAGGGTGAAATATAGAACAAAACTCAAAGACATATAAATGCCCAGATAGATTCTTAAGAATATTACTTCCTAATGCTCAACTGTTATAAATTATATTTAGCTTAACTCTGGTTTTCCTTACTGAGAGTAAACAGCAAAACTAGCAAGACGGGTATTATGTATAAGAACAGAATTCTCTGTAGCTATACTTAATCTCAAAATGCTTCTTTCTTTGACACTTTAGGAATATTTTTCCTGCAACTTCAGGAATCAAAAGGCTTTTCAATATTTTAGCCTTTCAGGGAGAAATATTAAGATAATATCATATATGCATTCTCCTCTATGTATCTTCCGTTTTAATTGCCTTTTCGCCCCTCTTTTATTAGAAACATCCATTTCTTCCTCAAAATATTCTCCGTGTCCTCTAATTTCCTTTTTTCCTATCAAGAGAAGTCTCTTGCTGAGTCAGTTCCTGTTCTCAGACTTCATGTGCTTGAGGCTTGGTAAAACCCTGTGGTGATGCTTGCTTTTATTCATCATCCCTAACAGAGTGATGGGTAGCCCACCGGCTATCATAGTGGGGATGGAATGGATGGAGTCATAATGGATATCATAAGACATTCCCAGACATTGTTTAATTTCATCTTTTCAGATCAGGAATGTTCCCTTGCTAACCAAGTCTTGTCATCCTCTCTGGGTAGCAAGCTTCTGGTGCAAAAAGTGCTATGGGGGCAAACTAGCAAGTGATTCTTTTTTTTTTAAGATTTATTTATTTATTTATTTGAAAGTCAGAGTTACACAGAGAGAAAAGGAGAGGCAGAGAGAGAGAAAGAGGTCCTTCATCTGCTGGTTCACTCCCCAATTGGCCACAACAGCTGGAGCTGCGCCAATCCAAAGCCAGGAGCCAGGAGCTTCTTCCAGGTCTCCCACATGGTGCAGGGGCCCAAGGACTTGGGCCATCTTCTACTGCTTTCCCAGGCCATAGTAGAGAGCAGGGTCAGAAGAGGGGCAGCCAGGACACGAACCGGTGCCTCTGTGGGATGTTGGTGCCACAGGCAGAGGCTTAGCTTACTATGCCATAGTGCTAGGCCTAGACTACCACTTTTAAAACATTTCAAAATGTCTTTACTTTTCTGGGATTAAGATTTTTTAAAAAATCAATTTCAGGCACCGGCACTGTGATGCAGCGGGTTAAAGCCCTGGCCTGAAGCCAGCATCCCATATGGGCACCGGTTCGAGACCTGGCTGCTCCACTTCTGATCCAGCTCTCTGCTTTGGCCTGGGATAGCAGTGGAAGATGGCCCAAGTCCTGGGCCCCTGCACCCACGTGGGAGATCCAAAAGAAGCTTCTGGCTCCTGGCTTCCAATCAGCACAGCTCAGGCCATTGCGGTCATCTGGGGAGTGAACCAGCAGATGGAAGACCTCTCTCTCTGTCTCTCCCTCTCTCTGTAACTCTTTCAAATAAATAAAAAGTAAATCTTTAAAAAAATCAATTTCACAATTCAGTAGTGTCTTACATGAGGTCAAACCTATAGAAAGGCTTTTTTTTTTGCTAGTAATATTAACATTCAATAATATTCATTTAAAGGTAAAATATAATAAAAACATACATTATCAATTTGCAAGGATTGCGGTTCTGTTGTCCGTTAAGAAACTGGAGACTTTCTCCTTCACTGATGGCGGCTAGAAAGCTGTCTTCAGGAGATAAACTCAAATGCAGTAAGAGAGCCTGGAAGATTGTATCACAGAACTACTTACTGGAAAATGACTCATTACTGATGTCACATCATATGATTGAATAGTACATAGCCACGAAGATTATAATTGTAAGGATTAAAAACATGTGACATGGTTATGAACCAATGTTAAAACAGGCAAGTTTCAACTAAATATGATCTCAATTATGTATTTACAAAGTAGAAGGAATATAACACTTATCAAAATAAGCTATAAAACACCAAAAGACTTCTGTTTGGGAGCTAAGATTATGAATTAATCGGATTCTTTCTCGATAATGTTCTGCATACGCAAACGTTTCTACAACGAACACAAATTTCTTCTATAATTGCATTTTTAAAAATAGAAACCCCACCACACACCATCACCTTGCCCCATTTTCTGGGAAACATGCTTGGCACACAAAAGAAGAACTCGCCAGCACCAAGCGCGCCTTCCGCGGAACGTTTCCTGTGTCTCTAATCACACGGCAGCTGTTGGCTCGGTGCGAGCCTGCTCCGAGTTTTATAGAAGCAACAATTCTTAATTGAGCGCTTTGAAGGGACTTCAGAACCTCGCAGCGCGCGGAGGAGGGGCGCTCTCGCTGGCCGGCCTGGCTTGTAACACAGTGGGGAATGGTTCCCAGGCACAGTTACAGCCCTCCCTGTTGCTGTGCGCCTTTCCCAGCGGCTCAGGCACAAGGAGGCATCTTGCAAGTCTATGGGTAAAACCTCGCTTGTCTAAAGGAAGGCCCTGGACCCAGAGTGGGCCTGAGCCCAGGCCTCCGCACCAAGCCCCTCATCGCCGCTGGGTTTCTTTCCCTAGCCAGATGCCGGCTCTGGGATTTCTTTGCTTTACTGGGGGGCGGGGCGGGGGGGAGCCCAAGGGCTTGACTTGGAGAAGCCTGCACTCCATGCTGTGTCTGCCTTCCTGCTGCTGGTCACAGTGACATTTCCTGCAGGGCACATCACTGACTCCCAAAGGCTTCCTTCCCTTTCAAAACCCACACAGGGGAACCTGGAGTATTTCCCGACTTTGATGGGGGCAGGTGGTCGAGCGGAGGGAGGGGCCCCCACCACAGAGCATGAGTGCTGTTAGGGTCATAAAAAAGAAAACACAGGTGGCCCTCTGTATCCGTGGGCTCTGCATCTGCGGATCCCACCAACCGTGGTTGAGAATACTTAGGGGAAAAAATGCATGCAGCCGGGTTTTCCCTGTCATTATTGCCTAAACAATATGGCCCCGCAAGTAGGACAGGGCATTTACAAGTAGTCCAGAGATGATCTGCATCCGCAGGAGCCTGTAGTAGGTTGTGTGCAAATATTGTCCCGCGTTATATAAAGGACTTGAACGTCCAGGCCTGGCACCCATTCCCCACTGATGTTGAGGGCTGAGCGTGCAGGGCGTTTCTCACTGGCCTGGGGGGAGGGAAGGAGACCAGAGGGATGGTGGGAGGGAGCTGGAGCCCAGGGCTTTCTCAGGGGCCATTCAAGGGCCTGGGCTGTCCAGGAAGGACTCACCGTCGTCTTTGTGACTTCCATGATCACAGTCGAGTCATCAGATCCACGTGGCGAAGCAGGGAAGAAGACAGATTTGATTAATTACGAAATTCACAACGAAACCAGCTTTAATGCTTTTCTGCTTGTTGACAGCCATGCATAACATTTTGGTAAACCTTGCTCATCTTCACCTCCTGCCCCTGCCCCTGCCCCTGCCCCCTACATGCTCCCCCTCCACAGAGACACGTCTGCCTCTCTTGACTCCTTGGGATTATCCGATGCACTATGTTCTGTCTTTAAAAGCATTTATTTTATTTATTTGAAAGAGTTTCAGAGAGAGGGAGGGAGAGGCAGATCAAGAGAGACAAAGAGCTCCTCCATCCGCTGTCTCACTCCCCAAATGGCCACAACAGCCAGACCACCTGGCCAGGTTGAAGGCATGAACCTGGAACGCCCTCAGGGTCACCCACATGAGTGGCAGGGACTCGAGCACTTGGGCCACCTTCCACTACCTTCCAAGGCACCTTAGCAGGGAGCTGGATTGGAAGTGGAGCAGCTGGGACTCAAACTGGTCCTCATATGGGATGCTGGCATCACAGGCAGCAGCTTAACCCACTGTACCCTACCACCAACCCCTAGATACTGTGTTTTTAAAATGTGTTTTAATTTAGAGACCTTAGTCATTTGTTCTTTACCTATGTTTTCTTTTACATAACACAATGTACCTTAGTCTTCCTTTCATATTAGCAAATACAGAATCCCATCCTTATTTTTGTGATTTTGTAGTATTTACATGATATAGCACACCTTAATTTATTTTAAAGTATCATTATAGATATTTCATTTAGTTTCAATTTATTTTATTAGTAGTACTCTATTCTTTTACATTACTGGTAATAGAATACAGATATGAGGAATAATATTTATTGACTTTTCCAAATGTCTCTTTTCTATAACTTTCTAGAAGTAGAATCAGTAAGTTCAAAGATACATACGTTTCACACTGTGGCTTATATAGCTAAACTGCTTTCACAGAGTTTTATATCTATCTATCTATATATATATATTTTTTTTTTTTGATGAACTAAACTCCAACAAGGAGAAAGGTTCTGACACAGCAGCAGGTGTACACCTGTGATGTGTTTCTGACTGCCCAAAGTTGCCGCCTTCTTTCCCTCTGGGAGACAGATGGAGAGCTCTCTTCCATTAGGGACATGCTCACGTGCAAGCTGCCCCACCTCCTGGGACCTCGGTGACCCTCGTGGGTAACAGCGTTGTGCTCCACCACCCTTTCCATGGCCAAGATTATCCACTGTTTTATGATACCTGGGGGGAGATGCAGCAGCCAAACACCGTTCTGCTGCCAGCCTGCCTTACAAACTTCGGTTTCTGTCCTATTCTATGTCTCTGCCTCCATGCCCAGTGGACAGCTCAGCCTGTGCAGTCTAAGACAGCACATTATGGCCCAGGGTGGCTTATCTCATCCATCCATCTTCCTACAAATATCCACATAACTCATGGCCCCATCTGTCTGTGGCCTTTGCACAAGTGTCACTTAGGGTTTTCGCGGTCACTGCATCCACAGCGGCACCCCCTCAGCCTCCGACCTCTACTCTCTACTTCCTCTTTCTTCATAGCACTCACATCTAAAGTGTTACCTGTTATGGACACTCTCTTTGTCACAGACTCCATGAGGACAGAGTTGACACCTAGAGCAGTGCGGGCACATGGTAACCTGACGTATGTGTTGATCGGGTATGGCACAGGAGCGAGCAGGGTGGGGGTACTCCATGAACTCACCCAGCATCGGCTGTCCTCCTGTCTTCAGCACATGGAATGCAGATGAGAGTTCACAGCTGTGTCCTTTGGGAATGGGACACTGGGCTTAGGCTCACATCTTGGTGAACCTTATTCATCGAGGGCCAATGTGGCAATGCTGGACAAGAGCACTAGTCACAGGGAGAGCAGTGCGACCACATCACAGATTTCCAAAACACTTTTCTGTACACGAGTACCATGTCCAACCTGTTCATAATGCCCTTGCTTTCACCAGTCACCAAGAAACAGGGGTTAAACAGGTTGACTAAAAGGCCTGTATAATCCAGAGAGATAATATACAGACAGGCCAGTGTGTCAGATATCAGGAAGCAGTGGCGACCATGGACAGCCACAGAACTCAGGCCTGACCCAAATAGTGCGGCTGCTTCTCTCCTGTCCACTATACCCCATGGCATGAGGAATGTATGCCTAGAGTTTTGTCCAATTTGGTGACTCCAAGACAACTCTACAATATGGATGCTGTATAAGATCTTCTGTTAAAAAACATGGACAACATTAAAACATTGCACCAGATGAATTGTGCAAACACAATGCAAAGTAGCTGTATATGTACCCTGGCAGGGTGGGATCCCTGTTGGAATAAAGACTTTCCCTTGCCTTGTACCACAGTGCAGCCCTAGGCTACGTGTTTTTTTTTGTTTGTTTGTTTGTTTGTTTTTGTTTTTTATTTGAAAGAATTACAGAGGGGGGGGGGTCTTCCATCCACTGGTTCACTCCCCAATTGGCCACAACGGCCAGAACTGTGCAGATCTGAAGCCAGGAGCCAGGAGTCTCTTCCAGGTCTCCCACATGGGTGCAGCGGCCCAGGGGCTTGGGCCATCTTCCACTGCTTTCCCAGGCCATAGCAGAGAGCTGGATCGGAAGTGGAGCAGCCGGGTCTTGAACCAGCACCCATATGGGATGCCGGCGCTACAAGGCCAGGGCGTTAATCCGCTGCACCACAGCACCAGCCCCATGTTTTAAGGTGTCTCTTTCCCTAAGACAATGGCAAAAAACTTCTATTTGCATTCAGATCTCCCTGTTGGAGATTGGAAGCCAGTTACTAAGAATTTCTACTAAAGTGCTCCTTTGAAACAACTTTTTAATTAAGTTACAGCCCCAAGACCCACTGAATACCTGGTTAGCCTATAGTTCCATTAGCAACCTGGAGAAAAGTTCTGTAGCCACTTGTGGGTTTACCTTCTTACTTAGTTCTAAGGACAGACAGAAACACAGGTAACCAAGATGGACTGAAACGTTGATGGGCAGAGAGCTCCAGGCGAAATGTGGCTGGCCCTGAAGACTGCAGGCCACTGAGGCTGCAAACGGGCACAGTGTGGGCACAGCCGGTAAACCAGCATGGACACAAGAGGGACCGGAGGTTGTGCTGTTGCTCACTGGAGCGGAGACAGATGGGCGAGGTCTACAGGGAAGACACATCATCTCCTGCAGGGACCTAGGGAGGTGGGCACATGGCCACAGAGTAGCCATGACACACAGCCTGCTGCCTGCCTCAGAAGAGATGGGCGGGGACCAGTCACCTCTGGTTCTGGTAGGTGTTTTA